CTGGCCTGAGCTTCCATCTCAGCCCCAGACGGGACTCCCGGGTCAGGCTGGTGGAGGAAGGCATGCCTGGGTAAGTCATGAGTGGGATAGGAGAGCCAGGGTGTCCACTGCCTTCACCGATCTGCCTGCATTAGGGCTGCTGCTGGTACTGGCTCTCTGTTGCAGTGAAGAAATCCTCCAAAATGCTCTGCGTGTACTCGAAGGTGGGACGATCCTCGGGTTTGGTCTTCCAGCATCTCAGCATAACATCGTACAGCTCCACGGGGCAGTTCTGTGTGCGAGGCATGCGGTAGCCGTGCTCCAGGGCTCTGATCACCTCCACACTCGACATCCCTGGAGAAACGGAGCCAGACAGGTGAATGTTTTGTGGTTTATCAGCGATTCCTTTAAAGGCAAAAATCATCCAAACTACCCACCCTTTGGGCAGCATCACTGGGAGGAAAAAGTACAGGTTCAAGGGGCTGGGAAGGGGGAACTGCTGCTCCTGCTTAGGGAAACGTGTGGACAACCGAGATGCTGAGTTAGTTGTAACACGTGGTTTTGTACCCCGGTTGAGCAGATCAGATGGGAATTATAATAATTTTGTATGTATTTCAAAAAAATAAAGGCTATACTTCGCCATCTGCTGAGTCTCTAACGAGCCATTCCTTCCAATAAAAATAAGTTACTGCGATGGCTCACAGGCAGAATTGCCATCTTGAGACCTTATGCTACTGCCTTTGAGCCCTGCTCCCAGTGCGAGATTCAGATTTATTGCCATTCCCTCTCTTTTCAGCCATATAACTTCATGGGGACACAGCTCCCATGGATGGGGCCCAGGAGGTGGAGCGTGTCTTTGGGAAGCAGCTCAGAGGAGGCGTTTCACCTCCTTACCTGGGTAAGGGATGCGCCCGTAGGTAATGATCTCGGTCAGGAGGATCCCAAAGGACCAGACATCTGATTTTATAGTGAAAGATCCATAGTTGATGGCTTCTGGTGCAGTCCATTTAATGGGAAACTTGGCGCCTGGTCAGAGAAAACAGAAGGGAAACATGAGCTTCTAACATAAATGCCGAGAAACTGGTGGTGAAATATAGGGAAGAGGAAACAAAGAGAAGAGGAAGACGTGAAGCGATGCAAATCAGAGGCACTTCCCCCACTAGCACGTCCCTCCTGGGGTCCTTGCCACCAAGGTTACACATTGATAAGCAGCCCTGAGGGAACCCCAAAACCCTTCACCGTGGCAGAAAGCAGCCAGCCCCTCCCCAGCAACTCCTGCACCTTCCCGGGCCGTGTACTCATTGTCTTCGATGACTCTGGCCAGTCCAAAGTCTGCGATCTTGCACACCAGTAGTGCCGACACCAGGATATTGGCAGCCCTCAGGTCTCGGTGGATGTAGTTCCTCTTCTCGATAAACGCCATCCCTTCTGCGATCTGTAAAAAGGGGAAAGAGAAAAATGCAAAGAAGCTGTTTGAAATAACACAACCCCTTTCTCAACATGACTGGTACCGGGAACGGACAGAGGCTATCGGCTTCTGGCCAGCGCAAGGGAATGGGGTGAAAGGAGCTGACTCCTCTGCAGGGGAACCTCTCCCTGTGCAGAGGATCCCTTGCAGAAGCTCAGGGGCTGGCAATGAGCCCAAGGTGACCCATTTAAGCCCCTCTGTGAGAAAAGCAGCGAGAACTGGCATCCGAGGAGCCGAGTTGCTCACAGGCAAGTGTCTGCAGATGTCTGTAGGGCAAGACGTGGAGTAAATCATTCTCTGTGGAGTAAATCATTCTCCATGGAGTAAATCAGCAAAGATGGGAGACTGTCTCCAAATACATCAGCAATGGTTTGAGAGCAGCAGGGAGTAAATTACCCTCACTCTACACTGAGGGGACAACAAATGGACTCTAAGTGCCGCACTGAGGGTCAGCCAGGAGTGCTGAGCTTCCTTGGTGAGGACAGAAAAGGAGGGGGGTGGGACTCCCCAGAAAGGCGGCTCTTCAGGAATAGCTTGTGAAGAGTCAGTCCTGCCTGGGGGCAGGATGGTTGTGAGAACCCCTGAAGTTCCCCTCCCTGCAGGCTCTTATCTTCTGAGTGGCTGTAACAATGCAGAAATGACCTGGTGTGCACACAACCAACCCCCAAATTTGTGCTGAATTATCGCATGCCTGAATGCTGCCAGCATCCCAGAGAGGAAGGGACTAGAGCAGCCAGAGAGGACACTTGCCCCCCATCCCCGTCACACTCGCACAAGCCTGGCCAGCGTAAGGTGCAGTTGCTCCCAGTGCTCTCCAGACAAAATACAGAAGTAAACAAGCACTGCAAGAGCAGGAGGGTTATTTCCATGACCACAGACAGCCTTGCAGTGACTCAGCCCCAGCACAACCCTGGGTGCCAGCCTTGCTACCTGCCTGCCTGCACACGAAAGAGCTTCAGCCTTTGCTCCGTGGTGGCGCAGAATGAAGCCCCTCTGAGCTGCAGAGCCACTGGGTGGTTCGCAGGAGCCAGCTTGCCGGGAACAGATGGTGGGGGCGAGCATGCAGCTGGTGAACACAGCCCAGCGCAGCCAGCACAGGTCACCAGCGACCCAGCCTAAGCCCCTGGGGTCTAGGCTCCCATCCTGGCTTTCCTCTCAGGTACCCCTACAAATGGTTTCAGAGGTACCAAGCTTAGCTCAGAGGGTGCCTGGATTCAGGCAGCATCTGGGGACACTGTAGAAGCAACAGGGGCAAGACAGTGGTTGCACAAACAAAGCTAGACATGTAATAGTATGCTTAGCTGTACTCAAAATCAGCTCTGCAAAATATCCCCCAAATGATTTTCACGGAGTCCTCCTGCCTCTCCTGCTGCCGTTCCCCAGCCTGTGCCAGCCCTTTGGCAGGCAGGTGATTTTAATGAACCACAGACCTCCCCCGGGACTTCCTGTGTTTTTTTCCCTACGCTCCCTTCTACAAACCAAGCCCAGCTCAACCTCCCGCCCACTGTGAATGCAACGAGACCCGGCTGCAGGTTTCCTACTAAACCCACCCTATTAAAGCTCGACACTGCTGCAGCTGTAGGTGGGTCCTGCCCCGGGGCATGGCCCGAGTGGGATGAGATGCTGCCCTGGAGCACCGCAGTCAGTGCCAGGGTGGGCCTGTGGCCGGGTTTTTGGGGCATTTGCGAAGTTGAGGCTCTGTCACACAGAGTGCATTGTTTGCAGGTAACCAGCACATCAGCAGCAATGGATAGAAATCCAAAGCTTTGCCACAGCAGCTCCCTCAGGGAGCTCTGGCTTCAGGCAGGTCACACCAACCAGCACCAGCGTGCCCTGGAGAAGGGACCATGCAAACACACCGCGATGCTCACCCCTGTGACTTGCGCAAAGCACAGCTGCAGCCCACAGGACAGAAACCATGACAATCTCAGAGATGAAGGTTTCCCAGCTCCTCAGAAGGAGCAGCCAGGCCAGAACGCCCCAGGGTCCGTGCAGATCCATCGCGGCACTGCCCGGGCACGTGCATGGGCTGGCCGGCTGCGTGCTGCAGCGAATGGACTAACAGAGAGGAAGCCACCACTTCTCCTTTGGCACACACCGGCTCCTGCGTGAGGGCAGCACTGCAGGGAAACCTCCCCAGCTCCTTCTCTGCATCCCCACCACCCCCAGCATTTGCCAAGTAAGTCCTTGGGCTCCTCCGTCCCTTCGCTCACCCTCCTCAGGGGCAAGAGGGAGCGGGGAGCAGGGCAAGGTCTGCTCCCTCCTCACCTGGGCAGAGAAGTCGATCAGCTTCGGGAGCGGCTGCTTGTTCCCCTCCTCGCTCTTCAGGAAATCCAGCAAGCTCCCTGCGGATGGGGAAGGGTGCCAGGGCTGATGGCTCAGCGGCAGTCTGTGCCCACCCTCGGGGTGGCACAGGGTCTCTGGGAAGCCGAGCACAACGCGGGGACTCGGTCAGGAAACACACCCAACCCCCCAACCCGGTCCCCTGGATCAGGCACCTTTCTCCATGAACTCGGTGACGATGTAGATGGGCTCCTCCTTGGTGACGACGGCGTGCAGCTTCACCAGCTTGTCGTGCTGCAGGGTCTTCATGAGGTTCGCCTCCTCCAGGAAGGCGTCCACAGACATGCTGCCCGGCTTCATCGTCTTCACCGCCACCTTGGTGTGCTTGTTGTAGGTAGCTGCGGGACAGCACAACAGACTATTTCCAGTCCCCCCAGTGCCCAGGCACTGGGAGCAATGGATTTTGGAGCCAAAGCACCCAGTCCTGCAGGAGCTGCCATGCGAGGGCTGGAGACTGTGCACAGCCCAGAGCTGTCCCCATGCACCCAGCCCCGAGCAGTCCCTGTGTTAAGGGCACTTCCTCGTGTTCCTTGCCCTCTCTGCCACCCCTCCACCTCCTCTACCATCCCTCACTCTCCCTCGT